TAGTTAATTAGATTTATAATTCCGCATTTACACCTAATCACTCCCCTCTAGGTGTAGTTGGGTCGAATCTTGCGTTTCTCAGAGGGGATAATCAAGATATTTTGATTTTCGATCTTTCAATTTTATTGCACCAGTAGCCTAAAAATCATTTGTTTTGATGGTAAAATGGGTAAATTGCAAATAATTTATTTAAAAAAATAATTAAAGAAAAGATGCAATAGAAAGAAACGAAAAAAGGAATTTTTTTAACTAAAAATTAGATCAATTGTTATATAAATTTGACTTTTTAAAACATAAAATTGGATGAAATTGTTCGCTTAGAGCATTTTTAAGAGACTCTTTAAATATAAAATGTTATCTATTTTAAAGAGTCAATGCTTAAATCTATTTTAACCTTTAAGAAAAAGGAGTGAGTCTGGTTCTCCAAAACTCACTTTTTATTATTAATTAATACTGATTACATTTATTAAGTTACAAATTTCAATACTATACAATTTAAATTAATCAAAATACATTTCAATAGATAGACCATTAACATATAAAAAATTAGGTTAAACGAGAAATCAATAAATGTTCATTGAAAAAATAAAATAAAGAATTAAAATAAAAAATATTGTGGAATGTTTAAAAATAATTTAAACTCTAAATTTAAATATGCTCTCTAATAAACATAAGATATTCTTTATAAATAGAAAATCTCTAAAAAAATGCTCCAAAACTACTAAGTCAAAGGTTGATGATCAAAATATCCGTTCATATTTGAAAGTTGAGTACAGAACATAGGTTGTGACTGCAATTTTCCCAATTAATAATTGCACATAAAATGTATCAACTACCAACTGAATAATCTGACATGAATAATAAACCTCCGTCTGGAAATTTTATAAAAATCATTTATAAATTAATTAAATTTAATTTTCAACTGCAATAAATTCACTTTTCTATGTATTTATAAATTCTTTCCAATGGATTTAACAACATTGTACCACTTTTCTTGACTATTTATCTATTTTAGTAGAGATTGGGTGATTATGCACATAAGTAAATGCCACAAATCAAATCTTAGTTTATATTTTCACTAAGGTTTCCACAGATGGCATGTTGATGTAGAAAAATAATTGAAGAGCTAAAAAGTAATATTATTAGCAGTAATAAATACTTAGTAGAGAAAGATGGAAATGTTAAAAATAAATAGTTACATCGAAAGTTACCTTCCCGTCCGATGATACCAACCTAAGTCTTCCGGCGATTTTAACCAAAAACTTAAGAAATATATCTGAAAGAAGTGTTGTGGAGAGAGAGAGAGAGAGAG